TGAATCAGTAATCAAAAACTTCTCAACAAAGAAAGTCAAAGCCCAGATGGCTTCACTAGTAAAGAAGAATTAACAACAATCCTTCCCAAATTCTTCCAAAAAATTGAAAAGAATGGAATACCTCCTAAATCCAGTAAGGCTACCTTATCCTGACACCAAAGCCAGAAAAAAAAACTACAAGAAAAGAAAACCAATATCCCTTACAAATATTGATGCAAAAATCCTCAATAAAATACTGGAAAACTCGATTAAATAGCGTAAGAAAAAGATTATACACCAGGATGAAATTGGGATTTATTCTTCCAATGCAAGGATGGTGCAACATATGAAAATCAATCAGTGTGATACACGTTAACAGAATTAAGAAAAAAGCCACATGATCATCTCAATCAATAGAGGGGAAAAAAATTGACAAAATTCAACACCTTTGATGATAAAAACTCTCAATGAACAAGAAATAGAAGGAAACTACCTCAATATAATAAAAGTCATATAAGAAAAAAATCACAGCTAATATCATATTCAATGGTAAAACACAGAAAATTTTTCCTCTAACGTCAGGAATAAGACAAGAATGCTTGCTTTTGCCACTTGTATTTAATATAGTACCAGAAATGCTACCAAGAGCACTTAGGGAAAGAAAAAAAGGCACTAAAAGACATGCAAATTGGAAAGGAAGAAGTAAAATTATCTCTGTTCATAGAGAACACGATCTTATATGTAGAAAATCCTAAAGATTTCCCCTTAACACACATACACAAAAAACTCTGTTAGAATTAATAGACAAATTCAACAAAGTTATAGGATACTAAACCAACACACACAAACATCATTTGTGTTTTTATACATTAACAATGAGGAACCTAAAAAGGAAATTAAGAAAACAATTCCATTTATAATAGTATCAAGAAGAATAAAATACATAGAATAAACTTAACCAAGGAGGTGAAAGACCTGTACACTGAAACCTCCAATATGTTGCTGAAAAAATTTAAAGATGACACAAATAAATGGAAAGACATTCTGTGTTCATAGAGTAGAAGACTTAATATTGTTAAGCTACTACTCAAAGTAATCTACAAATTCAATGCAATCCATATCCAAATCCATCCTAAAATTCATACAGAATTTCAAGGGACCCCAAAGAGCCAAAACAATCTTGAAAAAGAAGATAATTGTAGTTCTCACACCACCTCATTTCAAAACTTACTACAAAGCTATGGTAATGAAAACAGTGTGGTTCTGATATAAAGACAGACATAGAACAATAGAATAGAACAAGAGCACAGAAGCTAATTCTTGCATGTATGGTCAAATGATTTTCAACATAGGTATTAAGGCCATTCAATGGGAAAAGACAGTCTTTTCAACAAATGGTGCTTGGAAACTGGATTCCACATGCAAAAAAGTGAAGTTAGACCCTTACTTTATACCATATACAAAAATTAACCCCAGGGTCCGGCCCCACGGCGTAGCGGTGAAGTGCGCACTCTCTGCTGCTGGTGACATGGGTTCGGATCCCTGATGCACACCGAAGCACCTCTTGTCAGGCCATGCTGTGGCAGCATCCCATATAAAGTGGAGGAACATAGGCACAGATGTTAGCCCAGGGCCAGCCTTCTTCAGCACAAAAAGAGGAGGATTGGCATGGATGTTAGCTCAAGGCTGATCTTCCTCACAAAACAAAAAAACCACCAAATCAATCAAAGGCCTAAACATAAAAGCTAAAACTATAAAACTCTTAAAAGAAAATGCAGGGCAAAAACTTCATGACATTGGATCTTGCAATGATTTCTTGGATATGACACCAGAAGCACATGCAACACAAGAAAAAATAACCTAGAATTCATCAAAGTTAAAAACTTTTGTGCATCAAAGGACTCTATGAACAAAATAAAAATGCAACCCACAGAATGGGAGAAAATATTTGCAAATCATATATCTGATAAGGGATTAATATCCAGAATACATAAAAATCCTATCACTCAACAATAAAAAGAAGCAAACAATCCAATTTTAGAAAATGGGTAAAGGACTTAAATAGACATTTCTGCAAAGAAGATGTATAAATGGCCAATAAGTACATTAAAAGATGCTCAACATCACTAACCATTAGAGAAATGCAAATCAAAACCCCAATGATATATGACCTCACACCCATTAAAATGGCTACTATTAAAAAAAGAGAGAGAAAATAACAAGTGTTAGCCAGGATGTAGAGAAATTGGAACCCTTATGCACTGTTGTTGGGAATATAGAATAGTACAGCCACTGTGGAAAAAAGTATGGTGGTCCCTCAAAAAATTAAAAATAAAATTATCATATGATCCAGCAATTCCATCTCTGGGTATATACCCAAAACATTTGAAATCAGAGTCTCAGATATCCATACAACCATGTTCATAGCATTATTCATGATAGCTAAAATGTGGAGGCAACCCAAGCATCAATCGGCAGATAAATGGATAAGCAAAATGTGGTATCTACATAGAATGGAATATTATTCAACCTTAAAAAGGAAAAAAATTCTGACATGCTACAACATGGATGAACTTTAAAGACATTATGCTAAGTGAAATAAGCTAGTCACAAAAGGACAAATACCTATATATAAAATATATCTAAAATACCTAGAGTAATCAAATCCTAGAGACAGAAGGTAGAATGGTTGGTTTCCAGGGGCTGAGGGGAAGGGAGAATTGGGAGTTAGTGTTTAATGAGTACAGAGTCTCAGCTGAAGAAGAGGAAAATGTTCTGCAGATGAATGATAATGATTGCACAATGATGTAAATGTACTTAATGCACAAGTAAAAGGAGTAAATATGGTTATGTTTTATGTTATATATATTTTACCACAAAAAAAATAATACAAGCAAAATACCCAGAACTGAGGAATATAAATTTTCAGACTGAAAAGCCAGAATAAATTGAGTAGAAAGAAAATCCATCCAAGCAAACAAACAAATATCTATGAAACAAATCACTGTTAAACTGTAGAACACTGTAGAAAGAAAAAATGCTAAGTTTCCAGTCAGAAGGGAAAAACAATAAACAGAAGCTCATGTACATCAGACTGAGAATTAAATGGCAATGGACTTCTCAAAGATAACACTGGAAGCTAGAAGACAGTAAAACAATTCTGAAAAAAATCTGAAAGAAGTTCTACACAAATCATCAGCCAAATATAAGTGTAGCATAAAGATGTGTTTAGGCTTTCAAGGTTTTAAAAAATTTACCTCCTATGTATAATTTCTCAGTAAACTAATGGGGAAGGCACTGCATTAAAATAACAAAATAAATCGAGAAAGAACAAGATATAGAATCCTGGAAAGAAGAGTCCCAATACAGCATAGAGACAAGTGAATTCTCAAGATCACAGTTGAAGAGATGTACCAAGAATAATAGCTGTAAGAGCAGGTTTAGAGAGCAAGCAGTCCTAACTGAATCAGCAAAATGAAGGGCTCAAGCAGAAATATCTTGGACAAAAAAAATTATATATATGGGTGTGCTTGAGGATAGGGGTGGTTTGAATGGTATGAGACTTGCAAATAAGTTTTCAAAAAAAAAAAAGTATAAGAAAGCAAACATATCCTAATATATTGAGTGGCTCCGCTGTGAGTAGTATTTACATAGTCATATAAATTAAAACATTAAATATTAATTAACCTTCAAATAGTGATGATATAATTCTGTTGGGAGAATAGAGGAGGGGATATGTAAGTGTGTGTATTAGGGAAGGTTTATGAGTGAATTAAATCTCCATCTTTCACAGTGAAAATTTGTAGACAATATCTAAAATTGAAAAAGAAATATTAGCAGAATAAGCATGTTATTCGGAAATACAAAAGTAAATAACACATAAGTCAGTTAAAATGATTAAATCATACTGCCTTGGCGTAGCAGGAAGAGTGAGTAGGAAGGTATGGAGCATGGGATTCCTATTTTTTCTTCATTTCATTTTGGTTTATAAGTTTAGAAGTTAAATAATTGGATAAAAATAAAATTACTTTTAAATAAAAGATGCAGAGCCTTATGAAATATATAAAGTACATGAAACTAATGGAGATCTGATGAAATAGCAAATAGAGCCACTGACAAAGGAGGATCTGGCCGAGTTAGACCAGTTCACATACAAAGAAGAGAAAATCAACAAGGATAAAGATATCACCGTGAGCTTTTAAAAAGAGAAAGATTTGAATATTTAAGAATTAAAATGCTGGAAAGAGGGAGAAATGGGGAGCTGCTGTTCAATGGGTATAAAGTTTCAGTTGTACAAGATGGAAAAGTTCTAAAGATCTGTTGTACAACATTGTGCCTATAGTTAACAACACTGTATTATGCACTTAAAAATCTGTTAAGAGGGTAGGTCTTACGTTAAGTATTCTAATCACAATAATTAAAAAAGAGATTTAAGAGAAACTCTTGAGAAAATTGGTAAGACTTTCAAATAATTTTACAAATATGATTTTATGATTCTTCTGTGATAGAAGTAAAGAATGTCATCTGATCAGAAAAATTTCTGTAAAAACAAAGAAAAATACATACAAAAGTACATATTTGATAGGCAAAATTTTATTAATAACAAGATAAAATATATTTTTATATAACAAAAAATAATGTTTAAATCCTGAAGGAAATTTAATATCATTATTTAAACGAAATAATTTATATTACTCTGATACTTGACAGATTTCCTGAAGGAGATACTATGCTGACATAGCCATATAGTAAAGCTATCAATTCAATTTATTTCTTGGTAATACCTATTTCTCCTAATTTTCAACTTCTACTCAAAATCAGGTCCTTGATATCCATGAAACTGCTTTCTGAATATTTATAAAATATTGAATTAGATATGGATATTTTATCTAGACATCTCAACATATTTCATATAGTCTTATATTTATAGTTCAAAATTAACATGACCAATTTCTAATGAATTTAATTACTCTTCATCAAAAATGTTCATTAAATATAATTTAAAAATTCATATAACTCACCTTTTTGAATGAGATGTCTTGATTTTTTTGATTTTATGCCAATATCTTTCGTTTTTAATTCATATAAAATAGAAGAAACATGTTTTCTCTGTTCACTAGAAGTTTTTAAACCAATAGGAGAATATATACTCTGTGGAAACAAAATAAATGACAACAATGATAATATGTCATATATGTTTTAGAGTTCTCAAAGAACTCTCACATGTATTACACATTATCATGTTGACTTTCATTTATAAAATAAGAAAACCTATGAGATAAGCAGAGTTGAGAAAAGATGAAAAGAGCTCCACTTTGTATGATTTTGATAAGTTGTCTTTGTATTAAGAGTTGATGATATACTTTGGACAATGCTCTAAAGGAGATGAGGGAAAAGGGGACCTGTCAAGGGGGTGCCATAACAAAAGGAACCAGGGGGGGAGAGAAATAAGGAATAAACAAAGAGAAGCAAGATAGTGTTGCCCAGAAAGCCTGAAGGAAGATTCTGAATGAGAAAGGAGGGCCAAAATTACTTCATGGAACACTAAATGGTAGCAACACAGAAGAAAGAGAAATGGGACCAGAATTATTACAAGTCCTAAAAGTACAAATGGATCAGATACGTGTGGAAAGAATAACCAGTAGAACACGGAAAAGGAGCTTCACGGAGAGTGGGAGCACAGACAGATGTAAACTACACAATGTCTATAAACGGGTCGGGAAGTTTTAATAATTAGTACGGTGTTATCTCCCTTTCTCTTCACAGTCAATCCAGAACCAGTACTGAAGCTCCACCAGTTCATCAGAAACCCAGCCTCTTTCAAAACTTGTCATCTCTATCTTCCTGCATCTACATGGCCTCTACCCTCTGGGTTTACTCATGAGTCAAAACTGCTGCTTGAGTTTCAAACAGCATGTTTACATTTCAGTCAGCAGGATGGAGGAAAGGGTAAAACAATAAAAGGGCACTGGCTATGTCTTAAGGAACTTTTCCCAGAAGTCCTTCCAGTAACTTATGTTTATTTCTCATTGGCCACCTATAGCTACAAAGGAGAAGGTAAGAAATGCAGGCTTTTTGCTAGGTACTTTTCTGCCTGGAGTAAAACTGGGGATCTGTTACCAAGAAAGAAGAAAAGGACAGATATTGGTAGGCACCCAACAGTCTGCTACAAAGGAAAAATCAGAGTCTTGGGAGGGGATGTACGTTTGTATTTTGAAAAACCTTCCCAGATATATGGCTTTCTTGATGAGAACCACTGGTCTAACTTTTGAAGACTCACAAATATATACCTTCAGATAGATCTCCTTTCTGAGATGTTTGTTTTTGTATACTTGTATAGTGCTTATTTGCCATTGTTTTAAGCTCTTTACAGATATTCATTTATGTTACACTCTTAACAACCATGAGCTGTGCTCTTTCACTCTGGAAAATCTCAAAAACATCTCATACTCAAGACAATTGAAGTCATATCTTTCCTCCAAACCTATTAATACTCATTTCTAGTTTTGGTGAATGGCACCACCTTTATCCAATGAGAGGAAAGTCACATAAACTCTCTAATATGTAACAGCTGATGGAATTTTGAAATAGAGAACTGGTCATATTTCCCCTACCTTGACCTGTCCACTTGTCCAAGCATCCTTTATTCCACAATTTAGAAGAGACACTTAGATATGTGTCCTGGTCCCCTGTACTTACAATTTTCTGCCCAAATTCCTATACCACACAGTACAGATATATTTAACAAAATATCCTTGAGTTTCTTTCTATCTTTTACATTTTATATGTGATATTCTCTAACCTATTTATTGAAAACAATTTGTCTCTATGTAGTGACTCATTGTGCAAGGATTTTTTAATGCTCATGACAGGTACTAGGTATTATCTGGTCCTGGAATGAATCTCCTGTTTTATTCTTCACTAAAAAATCCTTCACTAATTAACTCTTACACAAATTCTTTTCAGTCTTTATATGACAAAAATACTTTTTGCTATAAAGACAAATAAGTAGGTACTTTTAAGCTCATATATTCTCTTTATATTTAGAAATTTTTCTTAAAGTTGTCAAGAATAATTATAATACAATAACACACAATATCAACACTTATCAAAATATGACATTATTTTAAGTAATGTTGCTTCTATTTTCATTTGGGCTCAATTGTTTCTATTAAACAAAGTATGACAAAAAAATGTAGACCACTGTTTTGCAATCAAATCTGTAACGATCAATTCCAAACGCTTTTTAAACCTCAAATTCGTTGACCAAGTTACATGATCATTCTTGCATATTTTTACTTTTATGAATTTTGCTCTATTTTGGTAACTTCTCTCTGTCTCTCCCTTCTAACAATGCAATTCATCATATGTTAAAAATCACCTCAAATTCTATTTCAATCAGAGAAGGGCCCTTTCTTTCTTCTAGATCTCACACTTATATTCTACCCATGAGAAAATAATGAAAGTGGAATGTAAGAATATGTTCGGCAATTCTGTTTCTACTAGTATTTATTCTTTTACCTTCCCATGAAAGAATAAAGAAATTTTTTAAAAGATATATATCTATCTGTCAAAGCTGAGTATCTAATCTCTATCACAGATAAGGTTAATTTATAGAATCATGAAATTTAAAAGCCCCAAAATTAAATAGACAGGTAGTTAGATCCTTTCAGAAAAATATTTTCTTTACACTTATCCTTGTGTCCACATGTCATTGTCATCACTTAAAATAATTTTCCTTTCCTTGGCTTTTATAAAAGAAGAATCCATGACAAAGGTTGCATATGTGACAGTGAAACAAATCTAAAGGAAGATAATCAGAGAGTCTAAAACCCTAAATGAACTGAGGCTTACACAAGCTGCCAAGGTAAGGAAAATGAGCTTTTCTGTTACATGTACTGCAAGAAGGAAAAGAAAGGATGTGCCTACTTGTTGATTGATCTTCAAAATCACGGAGAAGGAAAAGTTATCAGAAGACTGGGGATAATCCTATGAATATCTTGTTTTCAATAACAGAAAGTATATTCTATTAACTAAAGTACCTTAAAGCTAACACTGGTCCTCAATACTTTCAGAAAATATCTTAAGGATATTTGGTAGCATTTAGTAAAGGAATAATCACCAAGAAGCAGTATAAATTGGCAACAAACTAATTATATCAGATATAATTTTATTTTTAACAGGGTCAAAATTAATTCAGATTCAAATATCCTTGACATTATAAACCTGCATTTCAGCAATATGATTGATAAATGCTTTAAGCACTTATGGAAAGACAATATGATTAGGTGGAGATCAGAGATTCTCAGTCATCACATGAAAAAGAGTAAGGATTAATAAAATGGTGCCAACCTGAAAGGAGATCTCTAATGTCATGATATGTGGACCTGTTCACATATCTATCTCCATCCTGATCAATATTTATATGAATAACTTGAATAAAATATAAAGGAAATGCTTATCAAATATTCAGATGAGGTGGTAAAAGAACAAAATCAGTTAACATCAAACAGGAATTTAAAATATTATCAATAGACTGGAGCAACAGGTCAAACTAAATAGATGAAGTTTAATAGGAATAAATATCCCTAGTTGAGCAAAATGCATGTAATCACTGCAATACATAATGTGATTTAAAAACACGAGTGATAAAAGAATAAAATATTTTAGTTGAGTAAATTAAATTAAAAGTCCATTGTGTGATGAACTTATGCTATATTAAGCATTTCATCTAGAATGAGGGAAATGACAGTCTTACCATATTCATTTCTGATCAGAACCAAAGCTGAAACACTATGTCAGGTCAGGTTATATTCAGATGATTATAGATAATCTGGAACATAAAAAGACAGCAGCCTACCAACTGAATTATTTTTAAAGTAAACCCTACAAAAATAAGCTGTGTTTAAATCCAGAGTAGAGAAGAGGCAACAAAGGGAGATTCAGGCTTCTCACCTCCTCCAACTTCCATCTTCCTCATCTTGTAAAATGATACCATTCTCTTGCTTAAATCATAAAAAAATTAGAATTTTTTTCTCTATTTTATCCTTTTTCTGAAACCCTATATCTAAGCCATCAACAAACCTTGGCAATTCAACCTCCTAAATGTATTTCACATCTGTTCACTTCTCTGTATTTCGCTTTACTTCTCTAGTCTAAGCTATAATCATCCCTTCCAACCACAAATAGCCTCCTATTGGTCACCATCTTCACCCTGTCTCCTACAAGATACATTTTCATTTGTCAAAAGGTAAATCTGATCATGTTTCTCTTTGGCTTTAAATATCCTAATGGCTATCCAAGGTGTTCAGTCCTTGCTACGAGCTACAAAAACCCAAAAAAACATGACCCTTGACCACATAGCCAAACTCATTTCATGCTACTCTTGACTTTGTTCACTATACTCCTGCCACACTGGATTTCATTCAGTCCCTTAAACCCAACTCAAAAAAAACAAGCTACTGCGTGCCTCAGGATCCTGTGCAAGCACTTCCCTCTGCTAGAACACTCTCCTTCCTGCTCTTTGCATGACTAGCTTCTTATCCTTCAAATCTTAACTTTAAATGTTATTTCCTCAGGAAAACATTCTGTGACAATCATATGAGAAGTAGGCTTCCTCCTCTTATTCTCTCTCAGCACCGTATTTATTTCATTAATAAAATTCATCACAATTTTATTTGTTTGTTTACTTGGGTTACAACTTTTTTTTCCCTAGAATCTAGTCCACAAGGGCAAGGACTTTGCTTGTCTTGTTTACTCAGCGCCAAGAGCTGCCCCTGGCCCTCAGCAGATACTCAAAAATTATTTGTTAAGTGTTGAATGAATAGCACCAAAGAGAAGTACTAGAAGGAATAAGTGGAGGTTTAGGAACTTTGGTTTAATATAATATAAAATGAAACTCCATTTTTTGGAAAGAGTCCAAAAACCAGACATAACTTAAAAGAAATTCCTAGCTTGTATTTTTTAAAGGACTCTATCCCAAGTAACACTTTTCAACATTCCCTTCTTTTATTTCTGAAATTTTCTATACTCTATCGTTATTCCAAAGCTTTTCACTCAGCAACTCTTTACAACTCTCTTTACAACTCATCCCCTTCTTCTAAGCTCTTTATCATGTACATCGACTTAGACTCTAAATTTTCTAGTCTTTT